CTGCGACACCACTGAACCCGAACCGCACGACTCCTCGGTGTCGAAGATGTCGTCCGGCAGTACAGGCGTCACGTCGGCTGACTTGCCATAAGTGGAGGCGCCGGACGGCTCCACGTATGGCGATATACCGGGACTCTCCTCAGTCTGCAGGATCTCTTTGGGCAGTTGTGTGTCGTATGGGATGTCGTCCAGTATTTTCTCCGCTTTAATCACAGGCTTCTCGATGGCCGTTAACAGGACGGCCTCCGCGGTGGGCGGCGTGGCAGAGGTTGCGGCGATGGTGTCGATGCCGGTGCTGACGGCGGCGATCACTTCGCTCAGCCCGCTGTCCATCGCCGGCTCGTCCGCTGCGGTCGACGTCTGAATCGGTTTCGCTTTCTTGGCTTTAATGGCAGCTTTCGTCGGCTTCTTGTTTGCCGTTTTATTGGCGGCGATAATCGACTGGTGCTGTGGACTGGGAGTCGATATCAAACTCGTGCTGTAGTTCTGGTATTGCCTGAGCTGTGGATCCGCTTCGAACTCTTTGCGCGCCTTCTTCTGGAGCCGATGGAAGCGAAGCATCTCTCGCAGGCAGTCGTCCGACTTGTGCTCATCGCCCGAGAGGTCGTCATCAGTTCCGGAGGAATCGCTTTTGTCTAACAAAATGTTTTTCAACCACTTCTTGTTTTTCTTAACTTTGCTTAAGTTGTAGACCCGGGTCTTCACGGCCTTCGACTGCTGTTTCGACACGTTTGTCGTCAGCTCTTCGTCCAGACTATCGGTTTCAGTGAGACATACATTGAGATGATATGCGGAGGAAGTAGTGGCTAATGAGTGACACAAACCTCTTATCATTGAGCGTCCGCTCGACTTGTGCTATGAGTCCATCCAATCGGAGCGCGTTCTCCAAGCGTTGCAAATACAGGGGTTTCGCCAAACGATTGCCAAACGAGTGGACACTCTTGTGGTCATTGGAACCGCTGTTTATGTCAGTCATGTCTGCCGGAGACCAATCTGTGGCCAACTTATGGCGGCTTTGAATCTCGAGACGATAATAGTGGCGGCGATTCACTCACAGATGACTGCATACACTGTAAGACAATATAATGGTTAGGTTGGCGTCAAATGACAGCTAATGTGTGGATCAGATTCAAGACATAAACAGTAAATGAAAACAATTGCTGAGACAATAGGTGAGGGAATGATGTCTACCTGCGAGCGGTCACTGAGTGGTAAATAGTGGTCATAATTGGTGGCATCCCATGCGTGGGACCTATTGGTGGTGACAATGAAGTGATAGTAAGTGGCAATGGTTTGCGTTAACAGTCTATTGGTGTGAAAGCGTTGCAAATGTTGTGAATGTTTTGAACGCAAACCAAATGTGAAGTCATTTTTGGCTGACATTAGGCTCTCATGTGTTGCCTAATGGGTGGCGTGTGTTGGCTGTTGTTATGAAAATTCCCATACATATTCCCACAATTCCCGGAACGTTGAGATAATGAAGTGGTTATTGTTTTTAAAATGTTTTTTCAACTAATTATTATTCTTATCAAAGAAATAACTAAATGCATTGAATGATACAAATTTTAATCTATTTTATAATACAGTTTAACAAGTGTTTACTTTAAATTTTGATTTGAAATTTTTACAAACTTTTGACATGTTAATTTAGTTTGAACTTTTAATTGCCTAACAAACTTGGTGTTAAGTTATAAAATTATGAAATTATAATTATGAATAATTATGAAATTAAATATAATTTAGTTGCGATGAATATTCTGTATTAAAATGAGTGAATATGTTGTCGACACACCGATTACCTGTTAATGAGTAAATTATAATTTAATGATATTAAATGATACAGGTCAATTGTTTACTGATAGGAATAGCGATTTATTAATGTTGAAAAAGTTTGAGGCGTTGAATGTGCGCTGATTTCGCTGTAGTATTAATATAGCGTTGATCTGAATGTGAAAACACAGAATAAATGACAAGAATTTGTTAAATAATTAATTTCAAACATACTTTCACTCTGTCATCGAAATTGCGGGCATTTATTGTCGATATTAATTGAAACGTTTCCGTATTCTGTGACCAGAATTTGTATTTCAAATTAATTTTAATTCAAATTTAATGTTGCTTGATAATAACAATCATATTAAATGGCATAACAAATACCTTTTCATTCATAATGTCGGCAAATATACACCAAACAAACATCCGTATGGTTATTACCACGAAAAATGGCCAAACATTTTGGATCTGAAATCTTGAGTTATATTCCGAAAGATAAGTGACAATAAAGGCCACGATTATTAGGAAGAATATATTGAATGAGAAGAGTAGGAGCAGACACGGACTCAACAGACGGTTAGCCTTTTTGATGAGTTTCTGAAACCTGACGACCCGGTCGTAGAGATCGTCCAAATCCCAGACGTGTTCCGGGGTTTTCATGTCTGTCCGCAACTTATCGTTCAAATGAGCGCTAATTGCGGCCAAATATATGCAGAAGTAGACCATTAGAAAGCCCGTCGAGTCCACTATGACTTCGGTGCAAAAGTCTTCGACACATTTGAATATTGTTATGAAAGTGAATGTCTTGTGAAGCATGAAGAGCTTTCTGGTGGACATACAGACTGCGAGGAATATGTAGACATAGGTCGTGATCTTGAGCTTCAGGTGCGCTCTGGGGCTGACATGAAACTCGCGGAACCCGCGGATAAGTCGCTGAAACTCGTGTCCTCTGAATGTGAAGACGATGGCAGTCATGATGTAGAAGACCGTGAATACCGTGACCATAGTGGTGAACACTATATACAGGTATTTGTTGTCAAAGTCTCGCTCAGATACGAAACAATTGAGAAGACATGGGATGTTGGCCACTATGATGATCGCCCATATGAAGAACCCGTACGTTAGCCACAGCACTGTCCGCAGTGGCGTCGGTTTAGGCGTCCCATAGCCCACGTATACAATGCCCGACAGCCGGTGAAAGGCGATCAATGTGTCGAAACTGTGCTCATACTTGGTGACACTTTTAGTGTTGTCCATCATTTTCGGCTGATTTTCAATAGTGTTTGCTATATATATCAGAATATTCTATTGCTTACAAACGCTGTACGACGAATATTCTGTGCGCTATTCTGTATAGACTTATGCGATAATTGATTGCATAATACTCCACTCTCTAATGAAAGTGAGTGTGGAGTATATTAACTATAAATACTCTTTCAAAAGTCATTAATTTCAAGTGCAATATAAATAAAAACCTAATATCCGTATATTTGTAATCTTTTTTACTATTCCAGTAATTGAATAAATATTTGTTAAACAAATGCAGTATATGAATATATAGTGCGCCCACAGAATCTACCATTTATAACATGAACCGCATTATATGACCGCGTTACCTTTTGATAACTATACAATTAATAACACAACAATTTCTATGTCTAAGACACACAAACAATTGGGATGTATTATCGATTATAAACTATCAAATAATGATTATATTGAATACTTATATAACAAATCCCTAAAGAAATGGTATTTTTTGAAAAGACTGTAATTATGCAAACACTTGCATATTATTAAAATTATATACCGTATATATCGGACCCATAATAGAATATTGTAATGTATGCTTAGTATTAAACTCCACTCAAAATATAAAAATTGAAAAATTCAAAAGAAAATAACAAAACAAATGTGTTATAAAAATAATAGCAATTATATGTCATATAATGAAAGATTGGAATTTTTAAAGTTACAAAAACTTGAATTCAGGAGAAAATGAAATATTTTGAAAATAGTGTTTAAGTGTTTGCATAACTCTATAGATGTACCTGATCATTGGAAGACTTTATTTATAATTAATAAAAATTATAGAAATGGCATTCTTTTGATTAAACCTAAAACTAGAACCAATTTTTGTGACAAAAATTTCTTTCGATATTCGATATCTTTATTCAATGATTTGCCAAAACATGTAATGAAAGTAATTATAATAAGTTTGTAAAAAACTAAATTATTCTTTAATGGTTTGTAAAATATGTACGAATTTAATCAACAAAGTTATGATTAATAAAGATTATTATTATTATTAATAAACAAACATTAAATAAAAACATTCCAATCAATTAATCAGTTTATAAATAAAATTATATTCTGTTACCGATAATAATAATTTATAATTTGATAAATACCACTTAATCCTAATTTAAAATGTTGATAGATGGAATGCTTAAATAAATTAAATTTAGTTATGATTACATGTACAATGAGATGGAGGACAATAGTTGAGGGCACAGTTAGTCTGACACCAATCATCCATATTTGGCACTGCCCTCCAAATGCCCGTCGATTTACAGCCACTTTCCCTTTTGATATCATTATATTCAACGGGAGTATAGAAGGGGTGGGCGGCTGTCAGCACTCGCTTTGAATTATCATTATATTTGATAGGAGTATAGGAGGAGTCAGTAGTGGTCAGCACCCGTCTGGACTCAATCGTATTCAGGGTCTCGTCGTTAGGATCACTATCCGGGACCACATAATGAGGAGTTGTTGTCATCTCTGTCTCATTACGAGTGCTATTATGAGCTAAAATGCGGACATCAGCGCAACCTCTGAACGTCTCCTGAGGACCACATCCCACAGCACTCAACCCATTGTCACATTTCCCCCAATTATTGGCCGAAGTGTATGTCCACTGAAACACACACCGATCGCACGCCAACCCATCGGGCAGTTTGAGGTCAATCGTAAAGGTTTCGGCCTTAGGCGAGGGAACGGTATACTTGTCTGAACTGTTCCGCGAGTCCAACAATTTGAGAGCAAACTTATCCAAACATTTTTGAGTCACTTCTTGACTGTCATTAACCGCTGGACACACTTTGAACACAAAGAATCCATTATGATTGGCCGTTAACTGCACTTTGGCTGCAATGGTTTGGCCGCTTATGTAGGTCCTGGTGATGGCCAAGGTTTTTGCGTATTTCCCGTTTGGTGTCTCATTATCACGTTTGCCATCGTATGGGTCGCCACATATACCACACTTTCCGCCGTTCCGTTTCCATTGCCTCTGAAAGTAATAGTAATTTGTTAAATAGTTTAGTGAAAAGTTTGTCAACTTTTTTAGTCTTACTGTAAAACCGCCGCAAAATAGTTCGTTATCGTTGTAATTGATTTTGGTTTTGTAGCCAAACCTCCAGGCGCTGGATCTCGATGGCGGGTCTACGAGTCTCCCGTGTGCCCATACATTCTCGACATAAATTGTTAAGTAAATTATTATGCAAATTATTTTTGCATTTAAAATGATCCTAAATATCATGATTTTGATGAAGTGGTGAATAAATGTCGACAATTTCTTTTACTTTATCGCCATTTGTTACGATTTAACCTTAAAAATAAAATTTTATATAATTATTATGAAGATAGTTATCTATATCTTAAATTGCTTGTAACTTATAATTTAAAACTAACTTTAAAAATACTTTGTGTGGTTAAGTTTGATTGCAGTAGTAAACTGAGAAAACTGAATGCCTGTATATCTTAAATATACTTGTAAACAACATTAACAGGTGATAATCACTGAATACTAACCAGTATTAGTGAATTTTGCAATTTAAAAAATTTTAATAACTTATAAATTGTGAATGGGTTGGCAATGATTTTCAAAATACAGTCAATGAGAGTGATAGGAATGTGTCTTTACAAACACATTGTATGCATATATCATTTAAATTCCCAAAAACTATTGTAATCAAGTTCATTGACTGTTAGATTGACATTTATAAACATATAAAATACAAACTCAAACAACACAGGAATCATGAATTATCAATATTTCAAAGCTGTCAATGGGTGGTGAGCTTAGGTCAAGTCAAGTCAATCATAAGGAATGCATTTCATAGAAAATACATTTTTACAAATCTGTTATATAAATATCTGTCATATAAGATTATTTAACAACGACCTATCCTTTTAGGAAAGTCACGGCAAACCACTGGCATTTGTTAACAAAATTTCAATACATTTGCGATAAGATTTTTATCTAAATGTATTTTATTGAAGAGTTAATGATGAGTATAAATCTGTAGCACAATTGAATAGAAAATTCTAAAATATTTTTATATCTTAATGTAAGTTATACTCAAAGACGCAATAATTTTACGATTTTTAAGCATTTAAAATATTTTCATACCTTTAACCGGAAGTTATCCAAAATATGTGTTCACATTGTGAAGGATTTTACTATTACTGTATTACTTGATTAAATCTCATTTTAAAAATATTTTGTAAACTTTTTATAACTTGTCATCATATAAAATAAGATTATACACTACTACAGTAATAATTTTTATAAAATAATCATAAAAACATTTCTAAATAGATTCAAACAATTTCTATTTCAATAATTTACAAGAGAAAGCGAAATGTGGACTAAATTACATATTTTAATAAATACACACAAAAAGCAGTTAATCGTAATTAATTTGATACTTTGGTGACAATGAGTGATATCTCCATAACCGCTGAATGCAAAGTTTTGGTCAAATACTGTCCTTTTATGTCAATACTGCACAAGTATTTAAAGGTTATATTGTGAGATATTGATATTTTGAAATATAGTGATCATTAATTAAATAGATGTCTAAAATTTATTATAAATAATTATAAACTATGATTTCTAAATTGTCGATTGCATAAATTTTATTTAAAAATAAAAATTAATTAGCACTTTATTTTAATATAAGATTTATATAAACTCATAAAGTACAGTAACTGCTTATTATTAATTGTATGGTAAGTAGGCACTGTAGAAGCATATGACACACTTTCTGTCTACCTGAGCCACTATTTGAATATAATTAGTTGTAATTGTTATGTAAATGGCTATAAAACACACATTTTATGCAATTCATTCACACAATGAAATCATTCGTGAGACAAACAAAAGACAATTTTTTATCTTAAAATTTATGTTTCAAATAGTTATTGAATTGAAGGACAAAAATAAATAGAAAAGCTTTAATAACTAACCACTTCCTATTGATTTTATACCACTTAAGACATATTTCTGATTATCTTAATTTTATTTCAAAATAAATTATATATTAAATATAACTGATTTATTACTTAATCTAGTAGATATGAAAATATCTAAACATTAATTAAAATCTTACAAATATGGGAAATGACTATAAGAATTGATAGTTAAATAGTATAACAATTAATGTTTTTGCGATTAATAAGGAGATCCACTTCATCGGCATTCCTCACAACAGTTATCGGTATTTGTTGTTTGCCATCGATTTCTCTCTTCAGATCGGCAACAGATAAGACCACAACTCCGTTGACTCTTATAATCAAATCACATACCATTAGTTCGCCGCTAAACACGACAAACAAATCAATTATGAATTTAATGCATAAACACCATAAATGTAACAAAAATAACCTGTCAGGTGATGGTGGTCCATATATCCAATCTCCTCCATACAAGAACACCCATTAAGGTATAATACACACCAAAAAACTCGGGTCTAAACATGGGTTTAATGCGCTCATCAAAGTTATGGACACTAACTCCCAGTGCGCTCTTATTGTTATACAAGTATTGCTCATTACTGTACTGTTCACCAAAATTATCGGCATTTCTTAGAAAAGCTTTAAAAAATAAACAAAAAAATTAGAAAATAATGACTAATACTGTATTTAAAACTTTTTTATACTATACTAAATTAAATACAAGACCTTTTAGTTTATCAATATTAGTAGCGACTGATGAGTACTGGTCAAGGGTTGCAAATACCACACCAATCACTTTACCCCACATATTAACCACTGGCGAACCGGAATATCCCTGACTAATCTTACGTGTATTTAAGATGTAGGTGTTGTTGGGGTTGCCATGAAATTCATAGTACAAATAGTCTCCGTATGAGAAGTCGGTGCCCGTCCGGTCCGGATATACGACAATACCCTCACATAGAGTGGGACTAAACAGATCGGGACACCCTATGGTTAGTATACGCTCACCAATTGACAGACTACTGGTGTCGTTGAGCTCAAGGGCCGGTAGATCTAGAGGTTGGGTAGGCATCTTTGGGTCGGGTTTGAGTTGTATGAGCGCTAAGTCGTGTTCGGCCTCTACATAGACTACTCGTCCCCACAGATTGTTTACGCAATCTATTGAGCCATCGTTTAGGTCTTTAGCATAGAGTTTACATAAGACAAGAGGCGACTCCTCTGTCACGTGACAGTTGGTCACAATTAGTCCGCTTTTATTTACTATAAATCCCGTTCCGCTTCTGTCGAGTTCATCGGTACGACCCGTGGAGTCCATTTGATATATGGCTAAATCAACCATAGATTTGATTATCATGTCATGTATTTCGTGGATTGTCTTCTCCCTGTCCACCAAATGAGCACTTCTTAAGGTTTTGTGAGTCAACACATAATTACATTGTTTTCGTGGTTTGCATTGAAACCAGTGATAGATTCCTACGACAGGAACTGTTAGTGTTATCAGTCGAGTACCCATTGGTTTGGTTAACAAATGCCACAAACGATTCATTGTCTTCTAAAATGTGAATAAATGTCAGTAACTCTAGAAAGCGGATATTGGATAAGTTGTCCAGGATAACTGTGAAAATAATACAATAAATACAATAAAAGTTCTTATTCTATAGAAAATTAAGTCATAATCATATGTCATAAAATCAATTAGCTATGAATTTGTAAAATTAAAATTCTAGTGAGAGCTAACAATAGTAAAAAACACTGATACTATAATAATAAGGATATTCCTTGCAAAACAATATACTTTGTGTTAATTTCTATATTTAATAAATCATTGCTTTTGTATTTCAAACGAGAAACTCTCAAAAATCTGATCCAAACTCTGAGTGGTTTTTAAATTGTCAATCAAATCCCTCCACTCATCCAACCGGACACCGGTTTGCATAGGTCTGCACCGGACCTCCACATCGTTCAGCATTTGTTTAAACACTTCAGACATGTATCTCAAGTCTTGTTTGATTAAGCCTTAGACAGGAACTGTTAGTGTTATCAGTCGAGTACCCATTGGTTTGGTTAACAAATGCCACAAACGATTCATTGTCTTCTAAAATGTGAATAAATGTCAGTAACTCTAGAAAGCGGATATTGGATAAGTTATCCAGGATAACTATGAAAATAATACAATAAATACAATAAAAGTTCTTATTCTATAGAAAAATAAGTCATAATCATATGTCACAAAATCAATTAGCTATGAATTTGTAAAATTAAAATTATAGTGAGAGCTAACAATAGTAAAAAACACTGATACTATAATAATAAGGATATTCCTCGCAAAACAATATACTTTGTGTTAATTTCCATATTTAATAATTCATTGCTTTTGTATTTCAAACGAGAAACTCTCAAAAATCTGATCCAAACTCTGAGTGGTTTTTAAATTCTCAATCAAATCCCTCCACTCATCCAACCGGACACCGGTTTGCATAGGTCTGCACCGGACCTCCACATCGTTCAGCATTTGTTTAAACACTTCAGACATGTATCTCAAGTCTTGTTTGATTAAGCCTTTCATTTGGTCGTCACTCACGTACTCTATAGTCCAGTGCTTGTCGTTCACACATAAACCAAAGTCAGCCCATTTGGCCACAACACCGGTACCCTCAGCACCGGCTTCTGGATCTGTAAATACCAATGCATTCCCTAAATGGATGTCCGCGTGAATGATATTCTCGTTGTGAAGATATCTCATACCTATTCATATAATAATTTAAGTCTCTGATCATAAAGTGTAGATAATTAGTACCGGTAAATGAATGCGACATACCTGTGCACAAATCACGGATGAGCTGACAGCATACGGCTCCACTCCATTTATCTGTATTCATAAAAGCCTTAACATTACCCTGGTCAGCATATTCCATCACTAAATACATACGATCATAACTCGCGAATGTATATCTATTTTGCTTATCCCTGAGTCGTCTCTTGGGTCCCATATTAACCATGAAATAAAAGGTCACAACATTTCGATGGGATATCACTTTCAACGCCTCCTTCTCGAGCTCTACGGAAATCCTCTTTTTAATGCTTTCGGATTGAAATGAAATATATTTAACAGCAAACCTCTGTCCGTTATTTACACCTTGTATTTGTGCGCCCGTACTGTCCACTAAACCTGTCGCCTAAATATACAAACATTTAGTACAATTCAATGAGAAATAGTAAGATGTTTATACCTTAGGCCCAAATGTGCCTGTATATACTTTGCCAACAGTTCCCTCGCTAATCATACGATCAAAGTTTACGTGAATACCTTTGGCTCCCAATCGAATGGCATCCACTTCGAGATCAGTTTTCCATAAAGTCTGTGCCATAAAGTTTTCAACGTCTTCGACCTCCTCGTTGTCATTAATTATGATCTCATTATCTCTGGGATCTCCAGGAGTTTCAGACTCGACAACAGTATCAAAATCTTGGGCCACTCTGCTGTCGATTCCTACTTCTAGTGATCCGATGCCAATGGATGCGTCAGATGAAGACTCATCACTTGGACCGCCCTCAGAACCACCCGAGCCTTCAGAACCATCCGAGTCCTGTGAACCACCCGAGCCCTCAGATTCAGTCGATTTTGAGATCTCCTTATAAGGAATCTTATAGGGAATGAATATGTTTGAAGCACTCACTGGACTGGTAGGGGACAGTTCGCTGGCGACACTCTTATCCAACACCTGTTGCTCCTCTGCCTCTGAATCTTCGGATTGGCTCTCAGTCTGAGCGGATCGTAAGGTAGGGCTTGTGGTTGGGNTTGAAGCACTCACTGGACTGGTAGGGGACAGTTCGCTGGCGACACTCTTATCCAACACCTGTTGCTCCTCTGCCTCTGAATCTTCGGATTGGCTCTCAGTCTGAGCGGATCGTAAGGTAGGGCTTGTGGTTGGGCTGAGCTCTTCGGCATATTTGCGCTTTTCTGCCATTTTTTAGGCCAAAACACCTCAAAGTTTTGATTTTTTTGATTTTGTTAAACCATTTATAGTGTTATGAGAATTGAAAAATTAAATTAATATTTTCACCCAATTGTTTAAATTACAGTAATATTTAAAAAGTTTTCCGTATAACTTTAAATTAGGTGATAAGCAGGGTTATATTTCTGGCCAGTATTAGATAATTCTTAATTAATACTAACAAGACCAAACATACCAATGTGATTAAATAAAGCTAAACACAAACTCTATTTTTCATGACTTTTGTATATTTCAAACGAGAATTTCTCAAAAATTTGCTCTAAATTCTGTGCGGAACTCATATTCTTAATCATAGCCTTCCACTCATCCAACCGAACGCCTCAAGGTTCGCACCGGACCTCCACACGGGTCACCATTGATCCGGATATTCACTGCTGAATAGCCCTCTTCTCCACCGATATCTTCAGGATCTCTCTCTGTGAGGGTGGGGGTGGGGGTGGGGGCGGACTGCCTTCTTCAGAAAATTTGCGTTTTTGTGACATTTTTCACACTAAACCCCACTGTTTGTAATAAATAAAACTTGGTGGGTACTTTTAGAAATTGTATTTAATGTTTGATATATATTGTTTTACCAATTGTTAATTGTATAGAATATATTTTTGTAATATAAATAGGTGTATGAGATTAGTTAGCTTATGGATCTAGAATTCATGCCTTTCATGTAAATCAAATATTGTCAACGGATTACTAACTCAGATATATAAACATATTCTCATTTGAAGAAACTTTGAACGCTAGAAATGTGTTTCAAACAAATTAAGTGCCAATTCTTACGGTGCAGTCAATTGTCTTATCAATTGATGGCTGATTGTCAGTGTATGCCATAAGAGGGCTATACTATAGACATACTGCTCTCAAATACAGTACGCAATGCAAGCGTGCGTTCATTGCATGCATTGAAGTGGTTATCAAAACACATTCAGCTGTTTATGACATAACATTTGAAACATTTGCGATTTGAGCGCACATTCAGTTATCGCATTCAATGTCTAATTGTCTTCATTTGTATATTTATTACAAAACACGTGTCAAACACGACTGTCCCGTCAACAGCTGTAGCTTATCATACATTTCGTGACCATTTCATGCTTGCATTTCACCAATCATTGAGTCGTATAGTAAGACAAAACACGTGCCAATTGTATGTCAATAGCCGTAGACCTAGTGATCACTATATGGTGTAAAATGGCTATCAGTTGATGATAATAGGCACCAGAGGTAGGGTATAGACATGAGCGCAATGTGCGGACATTTCCTGCGCCGGGAGGGCACATACCGGGCTGAGTATGCGGCCAGTGGTCGGTCCACGTGTCACGGGTGCCACAAATGGATCCAATATCTTGATCTTCGCATTGGTTTGATTGGCAGATATCGGAAGCGACACAAGATATGGAAGTGGTATCACTTGCAGTGTTTTGTCATAAATCGTAACAATAATGACAATAATAATAACGAAGACGTGATCAAAGTGGAGGACATCGAGCACTTCGCGCATCTCAGACACGCGGATCAGATTAAGATCATTGAGAGCGTCATCACTGACGCAAACGCGGACCAAATCCTCGGGTCGGACAGGGAGTCACTGGAGAGACAGTCAGACGAGTTGTACAGATATTTCGATCTCTTACTGACACTAAAAGCTCCCGATTTGGCACTACTTATGCTTTACAATGAGATGAGACCGCCGAAGACTCGGATGTGCAAAGTGTACGCATTGGCCGACGCCATGACTTTTGGCGCACCCGATCCCTGTCCTCGATGTGACCCAACCATAGCTCAAGGGATGCTAGTCTTCAGAGGCAACGCTTATATCTGTTCGATGGGCGCCAAGACTCGGACACTTGGATGCGATTATTGGACTCTTGAGCCCAAACGCCACCCCTTTACAGTTCCCAAGGGATTGTCCGAAGAGTACCCATTTCTGGGCCAATACAGCAACGAAGTTCTTAGTGGTAGGGCTTATATACCGGCGCTATCGGCTGCCATAAATAGCTACCGGAGTGAGAGTCCTGTGTCGGTGTCGAGTCGTGCGATGGCTTACGGACACAACGATGATGTGGTCGATTCGGGTGATATCGGCTACAGAGTAGACGCTATTAGCCACCAAATGGACGAATTAGTGATATGTGAAAACGAGAGCACAAACAATAATAAGACACTAACTCTAGGAGGGGGTGATGTTAAGACACTAACCCTAGGAGGGGGTAATGTTAAGACACTAAGCCTAGGAGGGGGTGATGTTAAAACTCTAACCCTAGGAGGGGGTGATGTTGTGGACCCCAACTGTCCACTGGGCGCCGGCTATCAGGTGTACAGAGACTACAGAGAGGAGAGTTATAGCGCTGTCTTAAGTTACGTAAAACTAATGACAAACGAGAATTACTTCTATTATCTGCAACTCCTGTACATCGACTCCATCGAGTCGAAGAAGTATTGTTTGTGGCGCTCGTGGGGTAACATCGGATCCAAAGCCTCCGGTTCTTGTTATAAGTTCTTTGAGAACAGTTCGGACGCCATTTCGCGATTTAAACAGATATTTAAGGATAAGACGAATAATGAATGGGACAGAAGGCGACCCTTTAAGCAGAATCCATACTCTTATTATTTGGTTGATGTGAAGTACATCGAGAATAAAAACCAAATCATAAACCTGTTTGACTCGAACCCAGATAATGTCAAGATTGGTCATGATATTCAAGAGCTCATGAAAATTATATTCGATTACGAGAATATGATCAACGAATTGAGGTATGGTTTCAAGATAGACATCACTCGCATGCCATTAGGACTCGTATCCAAGAATGCACTGAAAAATGCTAAGAAATGTCTGAATGAATTGGCGCTATTGTTGGGACCAAATGTCATGTTAAGAGATAGAGAGACAACAGTACACGATATGAGTCATGATTTCTATCAGAATATTCCCCAGAAAACGGTTGAATGCATTGATTCCGTAGAGAAAGCCGATAAAAAGCTACAGCTGTTGACTACATTGAAATCCATGAGAATAACATTCAGTCTATTAATTGCAAAAACGGATTCTTACAAGAATTGGGAACCAATCGATATTCTCTACTCAAGACTCCACGCAAACATCAATGTATTGATTGAAGGCAGCGATGAGTATAACATTATAAATGATTATCTGTCGGAAAGTAATGGTCTCAACGGCCTGGACCTCCGAATTGCCACCATTTATGAGTTGGAGTGCAAGGAATCGACCGAAAAGTTTAAAGAGTTTGAAGCGTACAATAAGCTGTTGCTATGGCACGGGACGTGTGCCACCAATTTGGTCGGTATTATAACTCGCGGTATGCGTATAGAGTCGGGCGCCCAGCCATCCGGCCGTGTGTTTGGGGACGGCATCTACTTTGCAGACAAGGCGGCCAGAAGTATACAGTATTGTAGGGATGGGACTACCAAATGGCTATTGCTGTGCGAAGTTGTTAATAGAAATTAGTATGTATTGAACGCAAATTGAAAGTAATTGTTATTTAATTGATTATCCAATTGACAGCAAAAGGATTTATTCGTACGAAGAATTTGAGAGAAATGATAAGTTCAGGGATGGCTTTCCCACAGACGTAACGTGCGTTCAGTTTGTAGGCAAGACGGGGACCAGAATTCACAAAACGATGCCAAACGCTAATCAAATTTATGTGCCAAAGGCTGTCATCACAACCAACAGAGACTTCATTAAATATCCGCATAGAGACAATACAGTTGATCTCAAATACAATGAATATTTGGTCAAAAATTGTGATCACATTAATGTCAAGTTTATAGTCAAATGCCATCAAATTTGACTTTAATGTAGGCATTACTCTAAATATTGTTTAATATTAGAGTTAATTATATTTAAATCTTTGCCATTGACTTAAATTTTACAATATATGCTATTTACAATATAAGTTATATGATGGATATAATTGGATTTTAAAGAATATTGCGATTCTAGTGGAATTTTATTTTGCGATATTCGTTTTAAGCTATAATTATAGAATATATCGACACTAATTAAAATATATTTATTAACTTTTAAAAAGAGACATTCCAATTTAAATCAAATATTATTTATAAGATACTTCATAAAGAATTTTTTAAAATCTTATTTATAATTAAATACAATTTATAGATTTTATACAGTATTTCAAATCATATCAATATAGTCCAATTGATTAATAATAATTAAGTGCAATCCAATGTAATAATGAAATGTTTAATTTTATTAAAAATACTGTGAATTGTATGAATCAATTGGTGGTAAAAATAAAAATTATATATTAAAATGGAAAATAGACTAAAATAGTTGCCATTTGGGTGTCTGCTTATAAATCTCTACCCGATGTCCACTTCCATCAGCCTTTCGGATCCACATAACGACTATATATGGGAACAGATCCACTCCTTCGTAGATATCCTCCATAGAAGTAACTTCTTTGTCTCCGATATGTGTAATCACATCAAACTCTTCGACGCCTTGTCTTTAAAAACATTAAATAATTAAATACCATTTATCAAGCAAAAGGTAAAAAGCAAAAATTCATTGAACAAACTCGTGAGCGTAAGAGGTTTTATCGATACTGAAGATTAGTGCTCCGGTGTCCACATCCGGGAACTCTATATTCATGTGATTCGCATAGTCTTCAAAGAATTGTCGGTTGTCCGGATCCAACCAATACAATATCATTCCAAGTGGTGGCCACTTATCCAACAGAATAGTATCCAGTTTATCCATAACGAGATTTATATAGCCTGAGATACAAATTAATAGTATCCACAATCTCTTGATTTAATCCACTCATTACCCATCAGATCATAAGCAGTGGCGGCGACGTTCACGCCATTCATTTGGTCGACATTCATGCCAACCACCTGTCCATTGATGTCCAGCACAGCACTGCCGAAGTCTCGAAACATTGGCGCCGAGTGTAACATATAGTCGTTGTCCGGGACACACATATCGCTCACAACTCCGCCCTTCATATACTGACTACTAATGACACCATTGGATAGACTGTTGTATTTGTCGATCAATGGGTTGAAGACCACGAAAACCCGAGTGCCCACCGGATACCTGACAGGGCTATTAGTGGCGGTGAACGTAACCGTTGGCCAGTCGTGTCGATCGCCGTCCAGTTTGATGACAGCAAAGTCACAGCTGTGGTCGCAGTCAATCACTTTACCCCTCACTTCTGTGGCACCGTTACCCGTGATGACCACCAGTTCCTTGAAATTAGTGACACAACTGGCACACGTCAACACCAGACCCGTCGCGTCCACTATAAACCCGGAGCCCAACAAATTGTTGGGTCCGTCGTATTCATAGGGATTGGACTTCTGGTAGAAGGGCTTAAACGCTACGAACGGTTCCATCGATTCTTCAGTCAAACTGACAGTTATTATTGAATTATAAATTGAATTCAGTTTTCATTCATAATAAATAGGTTTTCATATACTTTGGCATCAAATGAGTACTTCTTAACAGAGATCGTTGTCTAAAGCGATGGACTGAACAGAATTGGGTGACCAGAGGAATGGTAGCCAATAGTATAGATCTGATTTGTATTGTAAAGATAAGCTACTAAAATAAGTTGATTTAGTTTTATGCACACTAACCGCTTATTATAGCTTAGAAACTGTCTCAACCGGTACATAGTTTTGTTTTAATTAAATCATTTAAATGGCAAAACAGAAGTGAAAAGATGTTTGAATTGAATTTGATTTCATTTGAAATGAATAGACAATTATTATAGATCACGAGACTATATCAAATACTTAATTAAAACTTTAGCCAACTTTTGTGTTACAGTATTACAATTAAATTATGGGATTAATCTGAGACTTTTATAGCAAGTTTAATATACATTTTTATAGTTAAATACAGTCTATTAAAGTTATAAACTTATGCATAAAATTTTTTATGACAAGAATTTGGTTCAAAAATAGTGCCAATTCTTACAGTGCAGTCAATTGTCCAATAAAAATATACTTGTTAATGTATGCCATAGAGGGCTATACTAATGTCAAAGTTTTTAGAACCATAAAACTTTGTTTATGCATTGAGTCAACATTAAATACATTTGTGTACAGTACCTGTACATTCATTTGTGTGCATTTAAAGAACAATGTCAGGATCTGGCTAAGCTGGCAATCCGGATTTTTTGGTTGGATATGAAAGTTCATTTAATGCTGAGTCAGATTATGTATTTTATATTGTCCTGTGACCTCTGGTTCGGCCGCAGTGACCACTTTAATCGGGAAATTTTTTATATAAAATGTCAACATGTGATATATCA